GTCTCAAGACGGAATGAAAACGTTGCAATTTTCAGACCTTCCACACGGTGCAGATATATCTGTATATTTCGCTCAGTTTTGTGTGATATTGTCATGGAGGAGGTACCACTCTGGTCAGTTTGGGCAATGTGTCTCGATAAAAAAAAGAAGATTGAAACGCCTTGGAAGTACCAGGCGTTCAAAGTGGTCGCGAAAGTGGCCTCTAAAAAGGCAGCAAATTTTTTCACAACGGTTTCTCGGTCTGCAGTTGCATCGATTTGTTTATCTCTGTCACTGTACTCCTTGCATTTCACACGCCAAATGCATTGGAAACTTTCATATAATTAGATGAATTCTGTGAGAAACTCACCGGAACATTGCCGAAGGTCAGCCATTGTCGCTTGACGAATTAAAACTGAGGAACAAAATGAATCGGAAAACGGTGCTACCATCTATATGCACCGACTTGTCTGCGCAGTTCACGGATATCTATGCTCTCCTAGCTCAGTTATCGCTGCAACTGTACCGTCTTCGCGCCAGAGTCAAAACTGCGCAGTTTTCCCGTCTACACGCAACGTTTTATCTGCAACGTGTCGGACTGTGCAGACAAAACGTTGTGCAAAATGGAGCGTCTGGACCCGCCTTTACAGCAATAGCACATACACAACACAAAATAAATTTCACGCGACGTCAACTCATCCACGTGGCAGCATGGTGAACGACATATCTATCTTAGCTGTAGCCACTTATCGTTAGCTGTGGGAGAGGTCAGCGAGAAGCGTGGATTTATCAAGAATTATATCATTTTTTATCTATAACTCGAAAACCGTTCGAACAAAAATGTAGATTTTCCTTTGGTAGCGTATTCTACAGTTTCTTTATTAAATTAAAATGGTAATGATAATCGCCTTTATTGACCAAAAAAATATGGTATACTTCATGGGGCGAGATTAAGCATCAGCCATTCCACCATCTAGCCCCGCAAAAGTGACTTAAAAAAAAGAAAAACAGAAATAATGGTAATAGATCTATTGTCACAATCAAATATAATACAAAGTTATTCCGATTCACTCATGAAAAGAAAATAGGATTACAATAGCTTATAGAGGTCCGGAAGAATAACTGATAAAAAAATACAAAGTATGAAAACGAAAGGACTTCTTAAGCCAGCGGTGGTTCTGTAACACTTGCAAACGCCTTTTTAACTGTTCGTTAGATTCTGTACAGACTGGGTAGATACTGGTCTAAGTTGTTCTGAAGAGTGTTGTGGCATTGTTAAGGTGTAACGGTAACGAACGTAAAGACTATACATAGACGCCATTAGAACGAGCCTACACCTGAGGCATTGAGGGGATAATGTTATCACGATCCTGTGAGTCAAGCCTAGAATAGAGGATTTGGAGAGGTTTTGAACGTTCAGTCATGCAATATTTATATACATGGTGTCCCAGAAGTCGACGTCAAGCCAAAACTGGGTGATAGGCAAAGTCATAACAGCTATCAGAAAAATATTTACAAAAATTTCATGTATGTGTTTTGAAAATTATAGATCTTTGAAAAAAATATAGAAATTTCACACCCTACGGCAGTCTGTCAACTCCTGTTACTACAAATATTAACTTTTTTTTGATTTTATTTTTACGATGTAATGATGAATAATGCATCTTCAATCTGGTGTCTTAACCTTACTGCCAACTTTTCTTGTTCAGGAAAAATTGCCACTTATTTCCCAACCAAGTATTCCAAAGTAAAACTTTGCTCAACTTTAACTGGCTGTACTGGAAAAAAATGTACTACGAGAGTTCGGCAAGTAACCTTAAAAGAGGATTCCAAAATGGTATAACACTTAGAAGATTACTCGTTAACTTATGCACAATTTTTATTTGAAGAAAAACTGATGAAAATTTTTCAAAATTTCCTAATTAAACAGCGATTATGAAAACGCACAAGGACCCTTAAGGATAACTGTTTGCACAACAGTGGGCGTCAAAATGCTGCTGATGATGATTTACCTTTACAGCAAATGCTCAAACTGTTTTCGTTCAGCCGCAATACACGCTCGACATCGTCTTAAAAAAGATCGGGTTATTAAACGAGCGAATCCACGGTTATTAACAAACTCAGCTGCTTCCAATAGTCTTTGCCGTAGCTCAGCTACATTTTGAATCGGCTTGAAATACACTTTTTCTTTTACAGTTCCCCAGTAAAAAAAATCTAACGGATTCAAATCTGGTGACCGGGCTGGCCACGGTATTGTACCAGACCGCCCTATCCATCTGCCTGGAAAGTTTTGATCGAGATACTCTCTCACTGAGAGTGCGTAGTGCGCTGGCCAGCCATCATGCTGAAACCACATGTCTCTGCAAATACTCAGTGGCACATCCTCCAATAAATTTTCTAAATGATTTTGCAAAAAACCTAAATAAACCTCAGCAGTCAATGTCTCTGGAAACTCAAACGGACCGATTATTTTACCATTTAAAATTCCTGTCCAATGGTTCATCTTGAAGCGATATTGAGATTCATCTTCTCTCATAAAATGTGGGTTTGCTACCTGCCACTCGTGTAAGATATGCAGGTTCATGTACCCATCTTTCTTAAATGTGGTCTCATCTGACCATAAAATTTTTTCAAAGAACCGTGGATCTTCACTGTGTCTTTCTAACATTGTTCGACAAAAAGCAGCTCGGGGATCATAATCCCGGGGCAGAAGAGCTTGAACACGCTGTACGTGGTATGGATGGAGCAGGTTTTTTTGCAAGATTCTATGGGCTGTACTTTTGGGCACACCTGTTTTTAGTTCTATTGCACGCACCGAAGTACTCGGATCTTCTTCGACAGCTCCTAGCACCACGTCTTCGTAAGGAAGGAAAGATCTTCCCTCACCGTGTGATTGGTTTGGTACTAGGCCCTCTGAGAACAGTAAGCGGTGCACATTTGTGAACACTCGATGATCTGGATGACGAGCTGCATTCGGGTACCTCTCACAGTAAAGTCTCGCTGCAGCACTAGCGTTGCATCTGCATTCCCCATAAATGAGGTGCATGTTAGCATATTCTTGTACGGTGTACACGGAAATAGCGGCACTGCACAATCACACTATCAAAGATAGTCTAAGGAAAGCAAATGTTGTTTTGAAGAGCAATTGAACAATCTAAATCCAAATCACAAGCGATCAGCAGTCCAGTTCACGAATCCAAAATTAGTAACAGTACGAAATCAACAAGCACGAACATGTAAAGATGCGCAGTAAACGAAGGAGTACTGATCGGTATTAAAGTGTGCAATAGCAAGTAAGGATGTGCTTCGTCCAAACCACATACAGCGTGTTCAATCTCTGCTGCCCCGGGATTATGAGCCCCGAGTTGCTTTTTATCGCACAATGTTAGAAAGACACAGGAAAGATCCACAGTTCTTTGAAAAAATGTTATGGTCGGATGAGACCACATTTAAGAAAGATGGGTACATAAACCTGCATAACTTACACGAGTGGCACGTAGCAAACCCACATTTGATGAGAGAAGATAAATCTCAATATCGCTTCAAGATAAACCATTGGACAGGAATTTTAAATGGTAAAATAATCGGTCCGTTTGAGTTCCCAGAGACTTTGACTGCTGAAGTTTATTTGGATTTTTTGAAAAATCATGTACAAAATTTATTGGTGGACGTGCCACTGAGTATTTACGGGGACATGTGGTTTCAGCATGATGGCTGCCCAGCGCACTATGCACTCTCAGTGAGAGAGTATCTCGATCAAAACTTTCCAGGCAGATGGATAAGGCGGTCTGGTACAATACCGTGGCCAGCCCGATCACCTGATTTGAATCCTTTAGATTTTTTTACTGGGGAACCGTAAAAGAAAAAGTGTATATATTCAAGCCGATTCAAAATGTAACTGAGCTACGGCAAAGACTATTGGAAGCAGTTGAGTTTGTTAATAACCGTGGATTCGCTCGTTTAATAACCCGATCTTTTCTAAGAAGATGTCGAGCGTGTATTGCGCCTGAAGGAAAACAGTTTGAGCATTTGCTGTAAAGGTAAATCATCATCAGCAGCATTTAGACGCCCACTGTTGTGCAAACAGTTATCCTTAAGGGTCCTTGTGCGTTTTCATAATCGCTGTTTAATTAGGAAATTTTGAAAAATTTTCATCAGTTTTTTTTCAAATAAAAATTGTGCATAAGTTAACGAGTAATCTTCTAAGTGTTATACCATTTTGGAATCCTCATTAAATGCGCCAACTTTTAAGGTTACTTGCCAAACTCTCGTAGTACATTTTTTTCCAGTACAGCCAGTTAAAGTTGAGCAAAGTTTTACTTTGGAATACTTGGTTGGGAAATAAGTGGCAATTTTTCGTGAACGAGAAAAGTTGGCAGTAAGGTTGAGACACCAGTTTGAAGATGCATTATTCATCATTACATTGTAAAAATAAAATCCAAAAAAAGTTTATATTGGTAGTAACAGGAGTTGACAGACTGCCGTAGGGTGTGAAATTTCCATATCTTTTTCAAAGACCTATAATTTTCAAAACACATACATAAAATTTTTTTAAATATTTTTCTGATAGCTGTTATGACTTTGTCTATCACCCGGTTTTGGCTTGACGTTGACTTCTGGGACACCCTGTACAATTGATATATGCTCCTGCACGATTATTTGTTCCAAAGCTGGGACTGCACAACTTGATGTATTAACTAAAAAAAATGTGATAAATTAAAATAAGAATATCATAAATCAGCTGATACACACGATGAAAGATCAGACAGTAAGTACTTATAATACTCCTCCTATCTCAGTAATGAAGTAGTACTGAGATACTTATTATTGAATGACTATTTAATACTCTAGTGTGTGTGTTGTTAATACTCAGAAAGACCAGTAACAATTTTTTTCTAACCATATATTCCCTAGCAAAGTTGAACCACAGACGCAATGTGAAGATATTGCAAACGATGAGTCCGTACGTACTGTAAGCATTTCCGTAACATAGAATAATATTTGGAAATATACAACAAACGTAAAATTTCAGTTTATTTTTAACAGTAACATCGCTATTTTTGAAACATTACAATGAAGTTATTGGCAAGTTACATTTATTCGTATTTTTGATCTGATATGTCTACTTACAAATTCGGTGTCATGTTTGAGTGTTCCAATTTGAAACATGACTGATTGTTAGTCGACGGTAATGTTTATCTGTAACAGAAGAAAAAACGATTTAGTGCCTCTATCGTTTCACACAAGTTCAATTAATTTTAGGTAAAGTTGCGCATCAGTGCAATTTAACCTTGTTTTTCATTCACGTTCAGCGCTGGCAGTGTCGACACAAATGACCCGCAGGATGTCGATTTTTTTTCGCCATTATATTGTTTTTTGTGACACATTGCAGGTTTTTCTACAAGACGTCAACTTAGCACTATAATGGACACGCTGTAAATGCGTTTTGTAGTTCCACGTGATGTCTGGGTGTAACTCTTCTAACGTCACTAAGTATATATGTATTTCTAGGAAACCTTGGTTATTACTGCTTGATCTATGCACTCTGTAAAAAAGGTCTCAAGTTTGAGACATCCTGTGTATCACCTCGTTTAGCCGCAAACATCTATTTTTTCACTTGACTCCGGGCGACCAAATCGAGTTAATATTCAATCTACACGATTCCCGTGCAAAAAGTCGTTTAAGCTCTTTTTATACGCAACACGAGTTTGGAGCTAATTTTCCTTGCTTATTACAATAGGGAGCCAATGATACCGCTGATGCTCTCTACTGGACCGTGGAATGACGCCATCTCGAATCATACCTTCTCACCGTCCAGTAGACTTTGCGCCTGGAGTCAAATGAAAAAATATATTTTTGTAGCTGGACCAGGCGCTTTATTATGAATTTCTATATTTAGTCTGACACCTAGAGGTCCATCTGTCGCAAATCGTGTAGTTTCTTCTAGGTAGAGATATACTTTCCGACCGACTTTTTTTGTAAGGTTCATTACTTCGAAAACGCCTTGTGATTTGTTGAACTTGCGACTTAAGGCCGTCTGTCACACTACGAAATTTTTTGCTAAATTTAGTATCAAATTTTATGAGATAATTCGTTAGAATTTGTTTACAAATTACAATGCTGTCTGACACGTAAAGAAATTTTCGTACTAAATTACGTACGAAATCATGCGCAACTGGTAGAAAAAAACAACTATAACTGTCCACTTTTTCACGTCATAGTCATTCTAACCACACATTCCTTTGCGGGTGCTACTTTACTTCTTTATCTTTAAACGAATAGACAACTGTAGAACATGAGTAATTCGCATATATTATATGCGACTGCGGTAACAGCGATCTGTGTTGTAGCTGCTCACCTCATAAGGAAACGAAGTAAACGAAACCGTAGAGCAATTTGGTGCCGAAAATGAATCAGGGAGAGGAACCAAAGCATCTGTGTGCTCCTTATGCTGAATAAAGAACCTTTAATTCAGGATCCACTTACTTATAAGCCTAATTGGTACTTAAGTCATTCTGATTTTATCCAACGTAGCTTATGTGGCTTCTCTGTCTTCATAGGCCTTGCTTTTTGCAGCATATAAACAATCATATTTCTCATACCCCTTTAGTAATACAGGGTGCGTCATCTATTGCTTTTTTCTACTTGAAAAATCAACATGATTTTTGGAGGTGAAATGGAATTTTTTATTGATAAATGAAGCTTGGTTTATGCCATTTATATATGAAAAATAACATCAGTCATGTAACCACCGCGGCTTCGTTTACAGGCCAACATCCGAACATCAAAATTTTCAATGACTTTTCCCAGAATAATCGGGTCTATGGCCGCAATTTTTGAATTGTCCGGGGACCATTCGCATACACATTTCCTTTCAAAAATCTCCAAAGAAAATAGTCAAGAGGTGTTAAATCGCACGATCTCGGGGGCCAACTGACGTCTGAATTTTGTGAAATTACGAGGTCTTGAAATTTCGTATACAATAAGGCGATTGTTTGGCGAGATGTGTGAGCCGTTGCTCCGTCTTGATAAAACCTTAGATCGTCGGCACCAATACGATTCAATTGTGGCTACAAAAAGTCTGTTAACATGCCGCGATAACGTTCCCTGTTGACGGTAATGGACTTTTCTTCGGCATCATCAAAGAAGAATGGTCCAACGATGCCACCAGCCCATAATCCGCACCAAACAGTCACTTTTTCAGGATGCAGAGGTTGTTCGTGATATTGGTGTGGATTTTCAGCCCCCCAGAATATGAAATTTTGCTTATTTACGTACCCATTGAGGTGACAATGCCTCATCAGAAAAGAGCACTTTGGCCGAAAATCCGTCTTCTCTTTCCAGCATCCCAATTAACAAAAGCACGCAGCTGTTGATGGTTTGCCGGCTTCAATTCTTGTGCTAGTTGGATTTTGTATGGATGGAGATGTAAATCAATGTGTAAAATCCGGCATAAAGTGGTCTCGCTAATTCCCAATTGTTGCGAACGGTGCCTAGTCAAGGTGGTTGGATCTTCACGCACACTTTCACTCACTACGGCTACGTTTCCACTAGTACGAGCTGGACGAGCTTGTTGGTATGGTCTACGACATTCAGCTGAACCAGTTTCCTCAAAACGATTAACAATCCAATGAATTCCAGGCTCTGTAGGGCGTCCGTGTCGGCCAAAACTAGTGCGAAGTTTGCGAATAGTATTTTTTATATTTCGACCGTTTTCGTAATGAGTTTGGATAACCAAAATGCGTTATTGTGTTGTAAACAAGTCCTTGACTATAAATGGCATACCTTTGACAGTTCACTGATGCATGACCTTTGACTCACATGGTAATACATAAACTTACAGGTAAAAAAAAGTAATAGATGGCGCACCCGTATATCCAACTGCTATTTTGATCACAACATCTTTTAAGTATTCAATCTATAAGTAGAACAATATACCCAAAGAAGTTTCGTGAAACAGATGAACACAATGATAACATCAACTAATGAAAGTACTTGTGGTTAACATATATCAGCCATTGTACTGCTCCAAATGCGCAGTAGTAGTCTGCGCACTTTTAGTATGATATTATTTACAAAATTAAGTACTTAGTGCTATCTGACACTGTCCTCAATTTTGTCCCAAATTTAGCACAAAATTTTGTACGAAATTTAGCACAAAATTTCGTATCGTGACAAATGGCCTTTAGGGGTAGTTGTAAAATCCGGCCTCAGACTTTCTTTGCTCTATACAAAAGATAGGATAAGGCCTGATTTTGAGTACTGTTTGGTCTTTATATACATAGTTCATACTTGATGCTATTTAGGGGGAAGAACATAATTCGACTTATTTTCCCTAGTAGGTTGTTGACCCACAATTTGAACTCGCTTCCTTGTCGGCGAGCGACAGCTAATACTGAGGATTTGCATCTTTTGTATAATGCGAGTATTGGTGGTTAGAATTGGGTAGCGGAATCTAAGTTAATAGTAATACTAATAATATTTATTCACTCAATGTACAAAGATAACAAACAATATGAGTAAATAAATATAAAATCAAAACAGGCCCAATAGAAGGTATCGCCTGTACATGGACCAATAATTTCAGTTGAAACTGTAGAATGCAAATGACAAAAAAGGGCAAAAATTAGCTACAGTAGATTATGTATTTAGTTGATGTTCGTATTTATGAGTTTATGAATTTCAGTCCTAGATATAGAATGTAGCCACTTTTTTAAATTTCTTTTGAAACAATTTCTAAAACGTAAATCTTTTAAGTCTTTAGGTATAATTTCATAAAATTTAGGCGCTAAATAGAGATATGATCGCTGCATTATAGATTTATGCGGTTGAGGAACTACTGTGTCACGAATTTTGTACCTGGTATAATGATTATGTTTAATTTTTTGGTCGGTGTTTACAAATTTATGATAGTGAGTAAGAAATAAAGCTGTCTTATACATACATTCGAACATCTGCGTATAATTTTTCAGTGGGATAAAGTTTCGGTTTTTTAAATATCATTCTTAGAATACTTTTTTGAAAAACATCTAAATTATAGATATGTGAGGAACATGCAGCTCCCCATGCTAATATACCATATATGAGATGAGGCTCAATCAGTGCATGGTATAATGTTCGAAGATATTTTTCTGTCAATATATTCCCAAGGTATTTAATTTTGTAGGATACAAATCTAACTTTCTTTAAAATATAATTGACATGGATGTCCCATCGTAAGTGAGGATCCAAGACCATTCCAAGGTATTTTATGTTGGGCACTCTATTAATTTGCATGTTTTGATCATTAATACTGAAGGAGAAATTTGTGTAATTTGGCAAGATGTCTAGCATAAGATCCAGATGATAAAAAATGTGTTTTAGAGTAGTTAATGCTTAATTTTCTACTGTTAAACCACCGAATAATTTTGATAAAATCGTTTTCAATTACATTTTTCAGATCAGACCAGTCAGTGCCTTCATATAATATTGCAGTATCATCTGCAAAACTAGTTATTTTGCCAACACAATTAATTTGTAAAATATCATTTAAATATATATATATATACAGGGTGACTTCGAAGTTGAGTCATTTATTTTAACAGTGTGTAGATCTGATCAAAAGAAATGTTTTTTTCCTTTACCATTTTTCTGGAAAAATTAAAGTAACAAAGTTATAGCCCTTTGGAAGTTTGAGTACCGCCCTGTCTCAATAATATCATGTGTTCGTGTTTGGCAACAACGGTTCATCGCATCGGAAACAAAAAAGCGAAAGGATTTGGAACGATGTTTTTACGATTACAATTCAGTTCAGTTATACATACAGTCAGTTTCAGTCGCGTGTGAATAGTGCGTGGCTCAAACGAAATAAAAAATGGCACATGTTTATGCGGATCGGTTTCCCAATCGAGTGCAACCAACCCCTCGTGACTTTGTTAATGTAGTACAACGGGCTCGTGAATCAGGTGACTTAAGACCTCACAGGGGACCTCACGATCAAATACAGGTCCGCACTGAAATACTTGTCGGGAGGATTCTTTATAAAACAAGGTAAAATTTTTTTTTAATTTTTTTTTTATTTTTACACACATATTTTGGTTTGTCTTCCTTCTACAATTATTATCTGAAAATTAATGACTCAACTTCAAAGTCACCCTGTATATATATATACATTTCTTTACTAAATGATCCTGATATCTGCACAGATTGTGGGCGATTTG